GGGCGTGCGCGGTGGCCCGAGCAGCGTGTGGCCGCCTGGGCGCTGAAGGCGCTGAAGGCGGCCCCGCTGGGTCGGACCCCGTGAGGCCCCCTCCTCGCTCAGCCTTCGGAGCCTGCTTGGCGGAACAGGCCCAGCAGCGAGCCCTCGGGGTCCTCCCCTGCGGTTTCCTCACCTGTCACTTTGCTGGAGTGTGGCCTAACATTTTCCAGGTGAAACGGAGAACCCTGTGAGGCCACGCCAGGTATAAATCTTTCCATGTTCTCCATTTGTTGTTTGTAGAAAATAGTCTTCATTCGGCCGGCTTGACCTTCCGTGAGTTCCAAAGGGCAGATTCAGGCAGTTGCTAATCAGGGAAGGGAGGGAGGGCGGAAAGCAAGGAGCAACAGTCAAGAAACAGTTGTGCAGGCAACTATATTCAATACCTTGGAAAGGCCTGTAATGAAAAGGAATATATATGTGTAACTTTATCTGTGATCTCTCAGCGGATAAAATACATTCTTTGCTGGACGTGTTTCCCCTAACAAACTGGTAGCCCCAGGTAATGCCTACCTTATCAGAGGCACAGACCCCCACCACCCTTCAGGGACCCTAAACCTCTTACTTCTCCTGCAACCAACCAGAGACGTGTGCACAAGTCGATCAAGCACCTTGTGACCTGACCTTATAAAATACCCCAATAACCAGCCCTCGGGGCTCACACAGGCACCCCTCACCTGTGTGGCCGCTGTTGTCTATGGCAGTGTACCCTGATAAACTTTCTATTCTTATACTTAACCTCTGGTAGATTCTTTTACTGAACCCATGTCCCCATGTCCCCATACAGGCTGCCCTGCTGTGCACACATTTTGTGACCCATACGTGGCTAGGACTCTGGGGGAGCCGTTTGGGCTTCTCTGTCTTTCTCGCCCTCCCTTCAGGGGTCTCCCCCTGGCTTGGTGGGACACTGTTCTGGAGCCAGATTGTCAAGGCAGGCTTCCCTCTTCTGCCTTCCTTTCCTGTCTCATACCTTGCTGCCGCTCCCTACTGTTCGGAAATTCCCTGAGGTCCTTCACAGGGCTGAGGAACCCTGGCTGGGCTACTCTCAGCCACCTCTGAACCTTGGTCTGACAGATGGGAATGACCCTGGCCTGCAGTGGTGAATGCACGTGGGAAAGACATCTTTTCTTTTCTAGAAACTCTTCTCTCCCCCACTCCTTGCTCTCTCCCTTCCTCTGACTGTGGCCCTCGAGACTGACTCCTTGGCTCTGGGGCCCAACCGCGTGGTTCCCCCTTGCACCTTCTGATTTTGCGAATCATGCCTCCAGACTGGCCATGCCTCCTGCCTCCGATCACCGTGCCAGGTAGAAGTCACCAGAGGGTGAGTCCCCCCACTTTTTCTTTGCTTTTCGGCCCCTTGTGCGGGCTTTTTAGCCCTTGTGCTGGTTCTGGCCCTTGCACTGGTCAGCTCCTCTTTACACTGGAAATTTAGCCTCTCTCTTTTGGGGGCACGCCCCAGAATAGTGTCTGTGCTGGTTTCCTTCTCTTTACTTCTGTTCCCTGGGACTCACCTTTAGGTTACATTTTAAAACACTGGGGTAAGTTTGATCCCCAGACATTAAAGAAAAGCAGCTTATCTTTTCCTGTAATGTTGCCTGGCCCCAATACCAACTTCCAGATCAGGAGACTTGGCCCCTTCATGGGACTCTGAACTGTAAGACAATCTTCCAGCTTGAATCTTTCTTTTGCAAATTGGGAAAATGGTCCAAGGTCTCATATGTCAAGCCTTTATGGCTGTCTCTCAAAACTCAGATCTGGTTCTAGAAGGGACTGTCTGATGAGAACTTGTGCTGGTCAGTCTGTGATGGCCATGCATGAATGTGTTTTGTATCTTGTGTTCTGTCTTGTGAAATGGGAGATTCTGTCTGACTGGAAAGAAACAGACAGTATTATGACAATATTCTCTAGACCCCAGGGAAAATAGGTTTAGGGAAGACTCTGAAAATCCTGACACTGGTTCTTTTTGTATATGCAGTTAGAGAAAAACTAGATGGAGACCTTTGCAAAATCCTGACGCTGAGAGAAAACTTCCTAGGAGAGAAGAGATAAGGAAAGAGACAAAAGGAAGCCAGATGTGTCGCCCTCCGCCTCTGCTCATTCAGGGCCAGGACCAGAGGCGCGGCCCAGAAATACTCCAGAGCCCGCCAGTCCTTTCACCACCCCCAGAGCCTCCCCTACTAATCTGGAGGCGTGTCAGTGTCTTAAAAATATTTCTCTGGCCTTCAAGGGAACAAAGTCATTCTGGGAAGAGCTCACCTTTGAGATGCAAATATTCTACCTGGTCTTCTCGGGAACCCTTCTCTCCCCATCTTTTTAAAATGCAAATTTTGAGCAAGAGCAAGGCAACTCCCGCAAGCTGTCCTGCCTTTGGGGATTATTACAAAGTTTAATTGAATTATTACAAAAACACTCTAGGTTTGTTTCTAAAGCTCAGTAATCTGAATGTACTTCATGATCTTAGACAGAGTTAAGTTAATCCAATTGTTAGGTTTATGGTCAGCTATGTAGGCCCAGTACTTCTGGGTTACCTTGGAGGATTTCTCCACTCGAAGGATCCAACTGGTAGGCCCTTAGGAAATTTATTCTCAAGCAAAGAGATTGTACTTTTGTACAGGCCCCTAGAATTACTCTGTGGGATCCCTCACCTGGCCGATTCTTATCTGCTCTAATCCTGGCCGTAAGTATGAATTGTCTTCAAAAGTAACCAGATATATAGTTCTAGAGGAGATTACAATGGCATTACTCTAGATCTGGGAAGAAGCAACAAGACGGGTGTTTTCCTGGACCGTAACAGACTAGTCAGACAGGCGGTCCAGAGGCTTTTTGCTACTGTTCACAAGGCCGAGTCTACTCACAGCCCATTGAGTGGCCTGTCAATGAAATCCTCTCCTGACCTAGGAACGGGGCACTCCTAGCGCCGTGGGACGAAATGCTCACGAAATGCCTCCCAAGCCGTGGCTGGATTTACGACCTCGAGGGCACGTTCCCTCTGCCCCTGGACGGGCTAAGTCAAGTTGCTGACCTTCCGCGCAGCCTGCAAGCTCAGGGCAGAGATCAGGAACGTGACGCTCTGTGCTCTGAGAAGACTGGCCTTTAGATAGTTAGGTGTTTTCAGGAAAAGATTTTATGAGCCAAATTCTTGTATCTCCACATACCTAGAAAAGCACTAAGATCGTTCATGGTGACGTCTGCTTTGGGCACAAAGGAGAGCTGTCTTGTGAAACCACATGGCTCCTACCATCCCACCCAAGGGGGCCGAGTGCTGCATGTTTAGCCCCGGTGTGTCAGGGATGTCAACGCTCACAGGGGACCCATCACTAAACAGCTCTCTGATTGGTTCTCCAGTGTGTTGTCCTAGATACCTGAAGGGATGAGCTCTTTCTTTTCAGACATTCCCAGATTTCTTCTCTCTGTTTTTACTGGGTTTAGCTGTCTATCTTGGTATTCACCTACTTTGTTGTTTAACTCTCTCACAAAAATGATTGTCTTTGAGGTCCAAGATCTGTGAACTTAGGAACAGACCACTCCTCCAAGACTGCCGCCATGAGCCAAGCCCGTCCTGGTGACGCAGTCCCGGGACGCCACTGGGGCCTCCTTCTGCTCCCACCTTAAGGCTGCAGGGGTGCCTCAGGGCCGCATAACCCCGGACAGACCGGCATGTTAGGCAGGGACAGAATGGCACCCCGAATTCAGCAGCAGTAGATATGGAAGAAGACACCTTCGCCTCTGTTCCAAAGAGCTGTCGCTGCCAACCTGTCTGGGGGGAATGTCGGGCCCCTAACAAACCGGTAGCCCCAGGTAATGCCTACCTTATCAGAGTCAAACCCCGCTGTCCTTCACGGACCCTAAACCTCTTACTTCTCCTGCAACCAACCAGAGACTTGTGCACAAGTCGATCAAGCACCTTGTGACTGGACCTTATTAAACACCCCAAAAACCAGCCCTTGGGGCTCACACAGGCACCCCTCAGCTGTGTGGCCGCTGTTGTCTATGGCAGTGTACCCTGATAAACTCCTTTCTATTCTCACACTTAACCTCTGGCTTTACCAGCCTGCATGTCACTGGCTCACCACCCGGTCACCACATTGTGTCCCATGACATTTGATCCAAACATTCCAACACTACAGAGTTGGCCAACTCCAGTCTGCACGTCGCATTCCCCTTCTGTGGTTTTGGTCCAGCCTGTGAGCTAAGAATGTTTTAGGGTTTTCTTTTTTTTATATTTTTAAGCGGTTGAAAAAAAAATCAAAAGGCTAGTTCAAGACATGTGAAAATTATATGACAGTCACATCTGCATGTTGTTAAGTTTATAGTCATGGCCACTTGTTTATATGTGGACCTGGGTGCTTTCCGACCTCAACTACACTGCAGAGTCACGGCCACCAAAGGCTGATGGCCGGCAAAGCTGAAAATATTTCCTGTGTGGCCCTGAGCCCACCCCTGTGCAAAGCAGCCCCCTGCCCCTTCATGGGAAGGGGAAGTCCATGCATCCATTCAGTGCAGGTGGAGCTCCGCACCCTGGGTTCCCAGTCCTGAGGCCGCTGGAGCAGCCAGCCTCCTGGGGGGCTGGACAAGGCTAGGTAGTAAGTAAATGACATTATTACAAGTCGCGTGGCAGCAGTGACAGAACAAGATCCCGGGATCCCAGCTCTGTGCCCAGGTATCTGCCCCACCAGGTGACATCCATGTTGCCATGTGTCTTTCTGTGTATATAGTATTATCTATAACTACAGTTTTTAAATTAAAAGAGACCAGATGGATATTTGTACATGCATGCCCATAGCAGCATCATGAACAGCCGAAACACAGAAAAACCCCCATGTCTACTGATGAATGATGGAGACACACAGTGCGGTCCCTCCACACATGGGAGCATCACTCGGCCTTGGATGAGAGAGATGCACTGACACTCGCGACCACGTGGATGGACCTGGAGAGCACACGGCTCAGAGAGAGAACCAGACACACGAGGACAAGTGCTGTGTGATCCCACTCACAGGAGGTCCACAGAGACGGGCTGGGGGAGGGGCTGGGAGGGAGTGTTTTGTGGGGACAGAGTTTCAGTTTGGGAAGATGAGAAAGTTCTGGAGATGGTGGTGGGGATGGTGGCACAACAGTGTGAATGCACTTAATGCTGCTGAGCTGTGCACTTAGAAATGGTTAAAATAACTAATGTTACCACAATACATTTTTTTAAAAAAGAGCCCAAACTATATTCTGTGTACTGGGTACACCTGAATTGATGCTGGGATTAAAGTCAGGAACGTGTGTACAGAGACGATTTTGTCCCACGGGTTGCCCTGAGGTGGAAGGGAGGGAGTGAATGAGGAGGAGGGAAAAACAAGCCGTCTTGTTCATCTTTTAAAAAAGATCTGAATCAAACATGACAAAGACGCTAATATGTGTTCATTTCAGTGTCAGGTACATGACTGCATGTTATTTTATCCCTGGTAGGTGTCTGTGTTTTTAAAAGTATATTATTTTAAACAGTTTGGGTCTGGCTTCCTTCATTTGAGCACATCCTGTCCATTTCACTCATACCTTTTGTGGTTCATTTATCCAGTGGATGGACATGTGGGTTGTTTCCAATTTTCTGCTCTTCTAATAGTGGGCTGTGAACATCCTGGGGCATGTCTGTCTGTCCCCACACTCAGGCCAGCATTTGGGGGTTGTTGAGCTTCCACTGATGGAAGGACAGTGCCGGCTGGCCCCCCAGTTTCTGAGGCACCCCATCACTCTATATGACTTAGCTTTTCTCCTGCACACTTATTTCCACGTGCCAGACTTACCCCGCCCCCGGTAGGGAGCCTGCCCCGCCAAGTATTACTGATTTCTTTTGACCTGAAAAACTTTATGGAGTCCCCAGGGGGAGGACATAATGCCTGCCTGATGCCAACTAGGGCCACTCCTTTCTCCTTTGCTGAGCTTCCGTTTCTCACCTGCAAATGGGGAATAAGGAGTTGCTCTCCTCCAGTGGCTACTGTGAGCAATGAGACAGATGCCTACGTGCTTTGCCAACTGGAAAGTGGCCTAAGTCAGGTGTATTTTAAATGTTTTATTTTGCACTGTTTGCCGAAGACCTAGTTCCTTCACGCCTCACATTCATTTAATTTTATGGGGAATACGTTATATCGTCAGGCCATCAAGAGGCTGAGAAAGTGAGCAGGAAATCGCCAGGCTGCCCAGACCCCCATCTGACACCACACAGGTCAGCATCGCCTGTCGTCTGCGTAGACCTGGGTGTCTCCGCCTCGGGTGCTGACGTGGAAAGCAGGTTATTCTCTGTTGTGGGGCCAGTCCTGCCCATTGTAGGATATTTAGCAGCATCCCTGGCCTCCACCCACTAGATGCCAGTAGCCATCCTCCCAGTGGTGACAACCAAAACCCGACCTGCAGACTTCGCTCAGTGTTTCCTGGGGGAGAGAAAAGCTGAATCACCCTGGATGAAAACCGCCGGTGTGGACTAATGAGGGCAGGACAATATTTGGCACACGATAAGGACTCAGTATGTTTCTATAACCACTGGATTTACAGCCAAATGTTGGATTTGATTCCAGTTCTTCCCCTGAGCGGGTGATCTTGGGCAGGTGATTGAACCTCTCTGACCGTCGGTATCTTCTTCTGGGAAACGAACGAAGCGCTGACGCCTCCCGCGACTCGGCGGGGTTCGGGCGTGGCCTCTG